TTCTCCCTTGGGTGTTCATGGCTTTGGCAGAGGAGAGATGGAACAACCTACTGACAATGGTCCCACTCGAGGTGGAGGCAGTGGAAGCAGAAAGCTGGGAAGGTTTCTTCCCCCCTCGCTGCCCCTGGTAGCACTCGCTGTCTGCAAGGGTTTGCCCAGCCACATGGATCCTGCCCACCCTGCAGCAGCTCCTGGTGCACTAACTCACACCCCATCCCGCGTCCCTGCTCCCGTCTGAACACAGAGAGCTGAGCCAAACAGCACCTTGCTCCAGCCCAGCTCCACCGAGCCTGCCTCTCCCTCCCTGCCCTCAGGAACACCCTGTTCTGCCCTCGCCCCTGGGCCAAGAACAGACCCCACAGCTCCGCTCAGGCACAGCCTGGGGCAGGAGGCACCTCCACGGGAAGCACTTGTTAGAGGGAGCACGCTGGCAGCTCTGTGCTGCCTGCCCCACATCACCAGAGCGCTTGTGTTCTATAAATGTTTGGGGCAACAAGTAGCCACAAACACAGAGTTGTAGCCACAAACAGAAGGGACTCCAGAGAGCCAGGTCCTGCCCTGCCCTCAGCCCTGGCACAGCCAGCCCCACGCCAGGCACTGTGCCCAAACCATTTCTCTTTACCCAACCCTCCCTCGTAACCAAGAGCCACCGACGCCAAGCGAAAAGCTCAGCACCGAGTCCAGCCCAGCTGCCATCACAGACACCTCCCACTGCTGTGTGGAGGGGCCAAAACAACCTGGAAATGAGGATGGGGCTGGCATCAGCCCTGGAGGGCTTGGGAGGACAGCAGTGCCACCCCCAAGCTGCTGCACAAGCTGGGTCTCCCTGGGACACAGCAGCACCTCTGGCTGCAGAGGGAAGGGGAAGGGCCCCTCACCGTGGTGTGTAGGGCTGGGCCTGACACCAGCAGCACGCTGTGGCTCAGCTCCAGTCCCCACTGACACAGCAACAGGTCAGCTGCAGGCAATTCCCAGCGCTGGGAAAGCAAACCTGGGCTTGGGAAACTTGGGAAAAAGCATTTTGTTGAATTTCTTTTGCCTCTATGGTGAGAGCCCCAGGAGGAGCAGGAGAAACTGCAACTGCCTCATGCAGGGCCCGGTGAGGCTCCATCACCTCCTTCCCGTGCCTCTGGAGGGGTGGCACAGCATAACTGCTGGGCAGGGTGACAGCAAGTTGAGCAAGGACCATCCCCTTGGTGTGAGGAGAGCCACAGGGTTGTGTGTCTACAGTCCCTCCTCCAGGAGAATCCTCACACCTCAGTGAGGGCTCAGCTCCCTCAGGGGCTCTGCTGACAGTGACTCCTAACACCCAGCAGGAACCGAGCTGGAGCTCTGCCCAATTCCAGAGTGATGGCAGCCCAAGACCACTGTGGGCACCACAGGGTTTTGGAGCAGTGCAAGCAAAGCACTGGTTATTCCCATTCACCCATTCTAATCACAGAATCATAGAATGGTTTGGGTTGGAAAAGACCTTAAGATCATCCAGCTCCAAGCCGCTACCACGGGCCTGAGACTTTCTGCTTCTCTGTCACCAGGAAACACACAGCCAGGCAGGACATTCAGCCCCGGGACATGCAGAGCACAGAGGGTTTGGCACTTAGGGAGCTGCTGCAGGGGAGTGATGGTGAAAGGCCACTCTGGGTGGATGCCAGGGGAACCTCCAGCGCACTTGTGCAGGACCTTAGTCAATCCTCCGAGCC